ATGTCATGTTTCATGTTTTGCAAAACAGGTTTAATCGTGTCCAACCCCAGCCTCTACTCACCGTTCTGCCCATGCCATACTGCCACACTTTGCACATCCGCTTGATGACGGTGTTGACCATCTTGACGGCGTTCTCGGTGTGCTCGCGGCGCTTGCTGCCGATCACCCGCTGCACATGGTAATCCACTGGCGCGGCCCAGGTCCTCTGGTCCTGGCGGGCGGGCTCCGCGGCGACGGGGTCCACGGGGAAGAGGAGGGCGGCGGGCCGGCGCGCGCGCGCGTTCTCGTCGGGAGGAGCGGAACAGAGAAAATGAGAGTGGGGGAGAGTAGGGAGAGCCACCCGCGAACTGAACACACCAACTCCCTCGCGGCTTCTTCAAAACAAACCGCGCTCCGCCGCGACTCAGCGTGTTATACCCGGCCCGACGGCCGACGGCCAGGCGTGGAGGGGGTTGCGGCGGTGGCGGCCCGCCCCGCCCCGCCCTGCCCCGCCCTGGCCCGTCCCGCCCCGCGTGGCGAGGTGCCCGATGAGACGAACGGCTTCTACATGCGTCTCTCTCCCCTCCCACCAAAACACCAATAATAAATGTCCCTTTCGCGAACTTATAAACATCGCACTTCTTCTGGGGGGCATTGACACGTCACCGCGTACCACCCCGCCTCATTTCGGCTTTTGCTGTCTGATCCTGATCGAGTTTGGTCAAACTGCGTCACCAGGAAAAAGTGTCTGCTTAGAACACTCGCCCTGTATATTGTCTACCCCGCGAGCTCCGCAGAGTTCTTTGCACGGAGTCTTCATTTCTTATTTCCCCAGATTTCTGCTTGACGCAAGTGGCGTTCCGGATACAGCGCTTTATGTGTCTGCGGTCCCGTTGGGCTAAAGTGTCAACTCTTAAGACCGTTGCCCCTACATTGCAGTGCTGTTTCTCCGTCTCCCTTTAACACGTGGACACACACTCTCACACATGCCTGCTGAGGGGTGGGGATCGCCTACCGCACCGCGATAGCTGACCACAGCAAGCGTCCACCGCGGTTCCGTCCGGAGACGCGCTGCAGACAGACGGTGCGTGAGAGTGAAGGTCGCCGCGGGGCGGGGCGGACAGCGGCCTACAGCGCCCCCCGCGATGCGAGAGGGTGGGGGTGCCACCGGCATGGAGGTGCCGCTGGAGGTGCCAGTGAAGGCAAGGGTACCAAGATAGTCGCCGAAGGGGCGAAGGCGGATGTCCCAAAATGAGGCGCGGGTGCTGGCGAGGGCGGAGGTGCCAAATGTGGTGCGGGTGCTGGCGAGCGCGGAGGTGCCAAGGGAGGTGCCGCCGTTGTGGTGGAGCAGGGTGGCGGTGCGGACCGGGGTGCCGATGACGCCACGTGCCGCGCGTCCCGGCGCCGCAACGCGCGTCACGTCGCGCCCTGACAGCCTGTCCTGCCCGTCACACAGCGGCATTAGCGACAACTGAACTGGTGACCGGACGCCTGTCTGCTCCACGAGGTGTATTTGTTTTGTCGAGCCGAAGAAATGTGAAAAGGGCTGCGTCGGAGTGGTGTGTCCGGAAGGACCCGGCTGATGGCGCACTGTGATATCATTATTCGAGAAGCGTTCGCTTGCTGGCAAAGTGGGCTTCCAGGCAACAATGCTCTGCTCTGCCGGCGAGGTGACACCCGATGACGTTCCTTTCACAGCTCATGCTCGTTTTTAGGACCGCCAGTCACTCGACGGCTGGGCGGCGGCGCCGGCTAGTGTCAGAGGCCGAGGTGGGGTAGGTGAGGAGGCAGGCGCGGTGGCCCACGGAAGGCAAGGCAACATGGGGCGGCAGAATGGCATTTGTTTACAACTGGACCACGAATCTCCTGGCGCTGGCCCAGGACAAAGTTAGACTCGAGCCCTGCCCACGGACCCAGAGCGCCGCTCGGCCCGGCTCGGCCCGCCACGAAGTATGACCTCTGCAGCCGAGCCGAGTCGGACTCGTCGCCTTCGATTCCTATCGGGTCCCCGACCTGCCTCACGGCGCCCGCCGATGCACGCGAGCCACTCGGCCCCCTCTCCTCTGACTGCGCAGTGGCCGCTGCCAATAATTTCTTTCTCCCGGGGTTTCGAAAGGCGCTTTTGAGAAAGTTTCCCTGGGAGTTTTTCTCATCGCCCCGCTCCCCCGCCGCGTCGTCGGGCGCCTCCCCTCCGCGCCGCCGTGGCCAGTGAAAGCAGCCCGCCCCGCCCCGCCGCCGAGCAGCGCTCCGGGCAGCTGCAGGACGGAGGACGGAGCAGGGCGGGCGCCTGCGGGGTAGGCCTCGCCCCGGCACGAGCGCGCGGCCGCGGCCTACCTGCCGGGCGCCCTCCGCGCCCTGCCCGCCCTGCTCCTCGAGGCGCGGCGGGGGCGCGGCGTCAAGCTGTCACCTCTTTCTTACCCTTCCGCCTAGCCTGCCTCCACCACTCCACCAGGCAACACGCCGGTGGCGGTAAGGAGCGCAAAAGGACTGCTGACCTACGGCTGACGCATATGTCTGGGCCGGAGGCTGACGCTGATACGAAGCGGTCTCCTTGTCACCATACCGCACTCCGCACTTCCTCGGCCAGCGAGCCAGTGCGGGGAGTCACAACGCAGTAACGAAGTTACTGTAACGCGTTACTCGTTACTGTAACGATAACGATAACGCGTTACATTTTCATTTGGGCTGTATCGGTAACGCGTTATCGTTACCCTTGTCAGTAACGAGACGTAACGTCGATACATTTTACTCGTTACATGGGATATATTTGACGGATACACTTAATTCGTTGATGATGATGTGAAGGGAGTAGGGTTTTAAAGGTGGGTAAATTACCAGAAAATTACCCGGTAACTTTCGGAAATTTACCGGTAATATTGGACCGAAAATTACCGGTAAATTACCCAGATTGCTTAAAACCTTTATAATTTTTCTGTTTTAGCACCCAAAACGAACAATTTTGGCCCCTTAATGTGTTTGAACATACATCATTCATTAATTTTTTTCCTTTTATTAGTTATTCTCGATCTTTAATGGTTATTTATTACAAATTGTGAATGTTAAGGCAAGGACAAAAATAGGCTTTTTGGTTAGGATACGGACGGATTTCTACGAAAGACTCCAATTCGTGTCGAAGTGGGTGGTAGCCTGGGGTTTTCGGGTATGCTGGAGCAATTTTTTGTGTCCGTTTGCACCTCCAGGATCATTCTGAGGATGTCATCGGGGACCTCAAGTGTTTGGCGATGGCGCCTGTCCCTCCCGATGATCTAGGCTTAAAATGGGGGTTTGGGGGTAAGCTGAGGCCATTCCCGGTGTCCGCTTGCACTTCCAGGGTTATCGTGGGGTAGCCATCGGGGACCTCATGTGGTCGCCGTCGTTCCTGAAAATACGTACTGGGGGTTCCCAGTGTACGTTTCCACCTCTAGGGTGTCGGTGTACCCGAAAACCCCCGAGTAACAGATTTTCAGGAGCGACGTTATCGCCGACCATGTCCCCGTCCCCGATCATGACCCGGGACCTGGAGGTGCAAAAGGACACCAGAAATGGTTCCAGCGTACCCGAAAACCAACAGGTACCCCGAGTCAAGAAATTCGTCCGTCCTTATCTTAACCGAAAAGCCTCCTATTATGTAGGCCTATGTATCTCTCTTATCAATGTGTATCTTTATAGATTAAACATATTAGAGGAACCCGAGACGGTTAACAAAAGTTATTTAATTGACACCCAATTTATATTTTACATTCTATAAATATGTGCAGCTGTTTGAAGCAACTTTTGTAAAATTACCGGTAGTTTACCGGTAAATTACCAATTTACCGGTAATTTTGGTAATTTACCGCACCAAACCAAAATTACCGGTAAATTTCAAACCCTAGAAGGGAGTTAAAGTTTAAGCGCTCTGCAGCAATCGTGCAATATTTTCCCGTGAACACCACGGAGCCGAAGGGGGGGAGCGGTGGGGGGGTCAGGTCTTATTTTATTATGACTTCTCAGCATTGCTGGCCGCCGCGCTTAGTGCCGCTGGACTGCGGCGTGGGACTGGGAGAGGGAGGAGGGGATGTTGTGACTCCCCGCACTGGCTCGCTGGCCGAGGAAGTGCGGAGTGCGGTATGGTGACAAGGAGACCGCTTCGTATCAGCGCCAGCCTCCGGCCCAGACATATGCGTCAGCCGTAGGTCAGCAGTCCTTTTGCGCTCCTTACCGCCACCGGCGTGTTGCCTGGTGGAGTGGTGGAGGCAGGCTAGGCGGAAGGGTAAGAAAGAGGTGACAGCTTCTGCGGCGTCAACACACGCCTGTGGTGCGCAGCGCGCAGCGCGGCCCGGCCGCCTGTTGACGCCGCCCTCGAGCGCGTGCGCTGCGCCGCCGTACTGTTGACATCGCGGGCTGTTTGGGCCGCGCAGACAGTTTGATTCCCTTTGATTACCATCAGCCACAACAAGGGTGCTCGCGGCGCAAAAGCAAAAACCACGAGTATATAGGGCGGCGGACTGCGCGGCCCTTATCTGCGGCCGTGTGTGCGGGTCGGGTCGGGTCGGGCCGGGCCGGGTGGGGCCGGGGACAGGGTCGGACGGGGTCGGGACAGGGTGGGTCAGGGCGGACCGGGTGGGACGGGACCGGGTTGGACAGGGTGGGGCCGGGTCGGAGAGGGTCGGACCGGGTCGGAACAGGGTGGGTCGGGGAGGGCCGGGCGGGAGCGGGTCGGATAGGGTCGGACCGGGGTGGGTAGGGGCGGACTACGGGGTCGAACGGCAGCGGCCGACGTTATTATTGCTCCCATCCGCGCGGCGGTGGCGGCGCATATCGCAGAGGTGCGCGGAAATGGCGCGGCCGCCGCGGCGATTGTAAAGTCTGACTCGGGCGATTGGGTCCTTATCGGGCGCGGCGATCCGGTCCGGTCGGAAGGAGTGTAGTAATAATATAGCGGACCCGAGCTGTTGGGCCCTCACGGGGGAGTCCCCACCTGGTCCAGCTGCCGAGCGGCAGCAGAGTCATGCTGCAGAGGGGGCGGCCCGGCTGGGCCCGGCGAGCGCACGAGGCGGCTCACTTTGTGCGGAGGAGGGGGCTGGGAACTGGGAGGGGTCAGAGTCATCTTAACCCCTCCCTCCCTCCTCACCCAACACCACCTCACAAAATTAATCTATGGGAAACAAACAAAATAAACGGAGTTATAATAAAACTCATTCACCCAAGAATGTAAAAAGAAAAATGAAGAAAAAGACATTAGACAAAAATACAGCAAACAAAAGGCATTGAACGCTTTATTTATTTATAATCGCACTCTCAGGCCAGCGGTGGGGTCGGGCGCAGCGTGACCCGGCCAGACGGCAAACAGAAGATCCACCAGCGAGTTTCCGTGTTGACAGTTTGCCATCCGTCGGGCGGTCCGTCGGACCCAGCCCGCCACCCGCACAACACTGCCAGCCGGTCTGTTT